ACAAATCGTTTAGTCGTCTCCTCATCTTTGCACAAGTTTATGATGCCCATTTGCATACATTTTATAGGGTATTAAAAAGCAAATACGACAACTAAATTCACAGCGAAATTGATTTTCTATGATTTGTCAAGAGAATTGGAGCGAGTGCGAAAGAGACTGAGTGTCCCATACTCTCACTCGGAGTGAGAGGGAGAGAGAGAGAGAGAGGGAGTATGAGAAGCGGGGAGTGAGGCAGATGGCGTTTCGCAGAATCGGAAGTTTGTTTGCTAGTTTTCTGCTGCTTATTGAATGTGTTTGCCATGTTGATGTGCAGCACCTTTGTTTGTTCGCAGTTCGAAATGTGACACAAATTAATTAAAATTGTTCAGAATGCAGTCCATTTTTGACACGCCCCCAACCGCCCCGCGTGCACACAATGTGCGCATTAAATGACGCACGCAGCTCATTCAGAGCTGTCACAGCCATTTTGAGTTTCATTCATTTCGTTGTGCCGAGTGTCATGGGCTGTTCTTTTATTCGTTCGCCACCTTCTCTCACGGTCTTTCAATCGGGTTTATTCAGACATTTCCTTAATAAAAGGCCAACACACATGCGCACAACCCGCCCAATGCCCTCACACACCCCGTCACACACTCCCACACACACCCTCATCACACGTCCTCTTGCAGCTATATTGTTTTAATTGATTGACGAACTTGCCTAGAGCTCGATTGACATTGTTATGAGGCATTATATTTATCCACATTGCTCATATGGTGTCGAGCCAAGTTAAATATTTGCGTTGTTGCAGCTGCAGCTGCATTTGAATAATCCATTAAGTAATGCATTTCATTCGAATTTCACGCTCTGTTCATAAACGTTAATCAGTTTTAAAAGTTGATCAACTCGCCCCGAGCAGCGTATAGCTAACGAATTACCCAGAGTTTCCCAATTTATTAATTGTTATCGAATCAATAAATTATAAATGAGTTACGTGTTATAAATTACCACCGAAACCTAATGAAATTGTTGAATATGCGAAAGTTCGGTACTACCCACAGAAATTATAACATCATAAACAGTGGGATTTGCATAATAAAACGGATTTGAATAATGGAATTTTGGGGAAAAGCATCACCGATGTTTGAACAAGTGGAACAGATTAAAGTGGATACACTGAAAAGGGAGACAAAGGATATGGAAAATTGGAAAATAACATTACGTAAATACAACTATATAGTGTAAGAAAGGCTAAGAGAAATAATAGCTGCTCAAACTAAGATGTCGGAAATGGAAAAAAAACGTATAAAGAGACAGAGATAGCAGCTATAGAAATTTATCTGAAAGGCTTTGGAATGCGACTCAGGAGAATGAAAATGAGTAAAATTTCTAAACACAGTTGTACAAACTATTAAAAATAACAACTGAAGTAAAATATTCAAAACATGGAAAAGAGTTAATTGAGCTTTTGAACGCACGATTACAAATATATTACAAATTGCAGCATTTGTTTTTGAATTTCCTGCTTTTCCTTTCCGCTTCGTTTTGGTTAAATTCCTTTCTTTGTACTGACTTTCACATGTTTTCGCTTTAGTTTTCAATTAAATTTTCACATTGCATTGTAGGTGCACTGCGACTGCACTGCAAACTACATCAAATAATTTTCATACATTTTCCGAGTCAGAGGCAACATTGCAATTTCATTTTGAGATGCTGCAGTCAAAGAAATAAAATAAATATTTGCACTGCGCTGCGGCGTTGACGAGGACGACGTTGGGAACAGCGCCACAAAACCCCTAAGCCCCTTATATATACATATATATATATATATATATATATATATATATATATATATATATATATATATATATATAAATATTAAGCTTGCACATCCAAGGGAAAAATCCCATCAAAATATAAAAAACGGCATGTCAAACATAAGAGTCCAAGCAGCTCTCCACAAAATGGGTGCTTGTTGTTGACCTTAACAATGGCCTGGGAATCCTGGCATGGGGCCCTACATGGATTAGCCGCAGCTTACGACCGACAGACGCAGAGTGAATTAAAAAAATAAAACCTGTACAGAATGCCAGATTTGTGGCTGTGGCAAAAGAAAACAGGCCTAGTTCTGCCAACATCTACAAACTTCTCTTTCCCTCCTTCCCCTTGTCATCCTTTCGCTCGCACCCGTTCTTGGTACCAGTATTTACTGTCGGTGACATACACAAAAGGCAAACATTCTGTACTTCCTCTGATAATAATTCGTGAGCAGAAATTCACATGTGCCCTTATCATTAGAGATGGGTGCGTGCCGTGACACGTAAGCGCAACACTAAAAGTTACGAGCACGCGCTCATCTCTAGCGTTCACGTAGGCGCACATAATTTGTGGCCGCACAAAATTCCATTTTTGGTTCAATATTTTACTCAGTTGTCGCTAATTTACGGCCATTATATTCGCAGTTTGGCAATTAGTGGTGCGCTGCTTGAGTGAATTGCTGCGGTTCAAATGGTGGTTTAATTTCCTGCTCAAATAAATAACGTCAGACGTGAGTTTTAAATTGCGTGCAATAAAAATAAAAATACACATTAAAATTCTCAAGCAGTTCTAGCATATGTTGCTTTAAGCCGCACAAACCACAAACATTTGTGTGCACACACTGACACACTCGATGCCAGGCAGTTTATAAAGATGGGGCAACCCTGGTCGAGGCATTGGGTATGGCAATGATAGCAACATGTGCAATATGTAGTTATAACCACAACTACAAGAGCGACAACAAAGCGTGCATATTTCCAACTCCTGGCTAGGACACACAAAAAAGTGTTAGTTGGAAAAGGCCTGGGAAAAAAAAGAAAACGTTTTGAGCTACAGAATTCCGATTAGAATGAGCGAGGCATGGGTATAGCCGTTGGCGAACGTTTGAAACTGCAAAACAATTAAAATAGAGAGAGAGAGAGACCCACAGTGGACAGTGGCAGACCAGCAACAGGCACGGAGGAAACCGACAACGTAGCATTCCATATGTACGGGAAAAAGCCCCCAACGTAACCCTCACCCCAACTAAACCCTCACTCTCGCAACCCGGCAACAATTTTTACCCTGTGACAGCAGTTTTCAAAGCTTCCTCCTGCTTCTGCTCCCATTGAAACTGATGTTTTGCTGCCTGGCAGGGGCTTTGCTTATGTCAATATGAGAATGGGTGTATTGTCTCTTTTTCTCTGTCCAATCTCCGTTTCTCCCCCTGTGCTCGGCATGTGTGTGTGTGCCTTATCAACAGCATCCAAGCCCACGTAAATTCCACTGAATAACGCAATTTTATTGATGCGTATGTTGACGAAAGATGATGGCGAATGTAGATGCAATGTTAAGCCAAGGGGTGTGTGTGTGTATTGGTAGGTGTGTGTTTGAGTATTGCGGAAATCGTCAAACGTTTGTGGTTTGATATGTTTTGTCACACAATATGCATTAGAACAGACAGCTAGACTGATGAAAATTGTAAAAATTCAGGTTCTATCGATTTAATTCACGCTCAGAAGCTTAAGTTTTTGATCAATAATTGGAGAGCAGGAAGTGAGGTAGATGGGCGATATTTGGCATCAATATTCAAGTTATGGCTTCAACCATACAATTCTCAACCAAAATATCTAATCTTATCTCTTGCTAAAAAGTATCTCAGTTGTGATTTCGTTTTGTCTATTTGACGCTTTTTATGCCACAAATAAAAGTTTTAAGTTGGCCTGCCGCTGGGCTGTTAAGAACTAAAATAAATTCATAAACAGTCAAATCTCTATTTTTATACCCTGTACACAAAAAATACGTAAAAAGGAGCGCGGACCGGGTTATCCATCTGTGACCAATAGCTGCATTACAAGAGTTCTTTTTCAAGCCTGCTTAGCCAGCTTCTGGTCTCCTTAGTTAATGTTTACGCTTTTAGTTTATTAATATCTTTGTTTTATTTTTGCTTAGTATGCATATTAAAGCACAAGAGGGTATCTTAAGTCTCGATCAAAGCACATTTGTACTGGTTTTTCGCTTTTTTTGCTGACCGAAAAGTTTTCCAATTTAGATTCATAAACCATCAAAACGAGTGAAGAAAGGGAAATAGTGAAAAGCCATAGATAAAATTTACTTGTTAAAGCTGCCTGGTGAGCAAAATATGTTAAAGAATATTTAAACGAATAGTAAATATGTTTGACCTTAGCCCCAAAAATCTCTTCTTTGGTGGCTGCCAGATGCAATTTACAAACAATTTGAAAAGGCACCTGGTACAAAAATTGTTAATCCAGTCGAGGCGCATCGAGTGTTCATAAATGAAAGATATATATATGTATAAATATATGTATATATGTATCTGTATATACACAAGACTGTTTGCTATTCTGGCAACTTCTGCTGGCAAAAATGTAGCCAAATATTATGCAAAGTTCGCCCACACGATGCGGATTCCTGGACTGGGTGAAGACCCCATGCCTGGATGCTAACCAAATTTGTATCTGTTTCCAGACTGCGTGTGGTATGCCGCTGACAGACATTAGCAGAGCTTATGTTGCGCTCCAACCTTTCCGCCCCGCTGAGCCTTGGGGGCAACTAACTCTCACCCTGCCTCATGGACAGCGAGTCTCTGTCTAATGCATGCGAAAATTGCAAAAACTGCAAGTTAAAAGTGGAATTTTCCGACAACTATGTGAAGGTGTCCGTGTCTGTTTGCCACACTGTGTGTGTGCGTGTGTGTGTTGCTTCTGACAACTATGCAGATACTGGCATCAGTTATTTTCATAAACTCGCCCCAGACTGTTGCTTCTGCAGCTGGTATCTCTGGACAGCAGCCAGTTGATGTTTAGATAGGGCGAACACCTTCCGCACACTCGAATGCAATTTAAGTTATACATTTCTCAGTTTATTGCATTACATTGCAATTACAATTAGTTGTAGCTGAGAAACGGGCGTTACCTTAGCACTCGGGGCAGATACTTTCCCACAGAGTTGTTGCACATCAAATTTGCTGCATACTCTGAGGCGTTCATATATATTTTTAGCGTACTTTTTCTCAATCGGGTCTGCTTTCGATTTCGATAACGACTCATTTTGCTTGCTGTATCAATAAATAATTAAAAGTAACATCCGGAAAAACTGAATTTGAAAATGTACCTTACTTCAATTAGAATATGTAATTTTTTCTTATTATTTTATGCCTAAGCTCTTCGTCTTGCTCCTACAATATGGTAATATTGTAGGAATCTTACAATTGCTCCGCAACTAATTTCCTTGTGGAATGTCGTTTTAAGCACTTGATTTATTTCAAATCGAAGTTCAGTTTTTTTAAATCCACTTTTTCTGTGCTCTGACCTTGTACTTACGATGTAATATTATCTGAAATTAGAACAAGTAAAATCCTTAATACCTTTAAATGAAAATAGAATAATATCTAAGCTTCTGAGAGAAACCCATTTATTTATTTTGCTGTATTATGCACATTATTAAAGAGTTTATTTGTATTATATGCTGCCTTGTTAATATTGGCATTATTTACTCAGCTTATGGGGAAAATCAGTTCGTATATGTTATTTATGAACCTTCACTTTAACCAAACAAACCGTAAATAAAGCCCACCCCATAACTCCATACATATCACTATTTGCCATCTGCACTCTCCCATATTGTTTGTCACTTGAGCTCGGGGTCATATTTTATCTGCCCCACACTCGCTCTCTCTCTCTCCCTTTCTCTCTTTCTCTCTGGCGTGCAACCTCAGTGCAATGCGGTTTGCACTCGCAACCAGTGGAGCGGTAGATTTCACCTACCCAATGCCTAGAAGCTCTTGGTACTCAATGACACTCAAATTCCAATAAATAACTTATGTAACGCCAACTGCGACGACTGTCAAACTGTGAGAGGCAATGGAGGAGGCAACGTGGCGTATGAGCGTTGTGGTTGACGCCCAAAACTAACAGCAACTGCGTTGGCTATTACCCGACCTCACCTGGCTGCCATTTTGTCTTAGAGATGTGCACGTGTTTCCGTTTTTTCGCACATGACACGTAGTCGAAGCTTCTGCGGGATATTTTCCTGTGGGCACAATTCCAAAATAGAGTGTGACCAAAGCGTGTAATCATTATTGAATTACAAAAGGCAGGCACGAGCCTGTTGTGCTATTTGTAATAGGTGATTCGATGAAAATTACGAGCAGAAATAATACGACGAAGTTTTTGAGTTTTGAAAGTGTGACCAAAGTTGTAGGCGAATAGAGGACACGTAATTTTTTATATAATTTCTTAAAAGTGTGACCAAAATTTGTTTAAGCATTTAAAATAAAACTAAGCAAACAGAAAACATATTTATTTTGTACATTAAGCTTTTATGACCATTCAAAGGAAACTGAAGCAAAGTTTATACATATACATGAGACAACAACGAGCAAAGCAAATCCCTTTACAATGTTAAAAAAATAAAATAAAAATAATGTTTTTCCTAACAAGGTTTTTCTGACATCTCTCTCTCTCGTCGATGTTGTGAAACGTTTTCAACAAAACGTTAAAAATAGTTTATTAAAGCTCTCAAATCAACAAAATATTTATTTGTAATCGTGTTAGTAGCACAAATCACGATAAAAAAAAACACGATACTGGCACATCTCTAAATGCGACCCATCTATCGAATGTTCGCAATATTCGGTGGCAATGTAATTGTCTCAATATTTCGTTGCGACTCGTTTCGTTCTGATATCAACTGGGTTTGCTGGGAACGGGATGGGCCTTGGGACATGTCATGTGGAGTTCGGTTATTGTTGCTCTTGTTGCAGTTGTTGGTTTAGCGTGTTTGTTGCTTTCACCACAGAAATCTACGTGGTGCACGCTCGTCTTGAGTTAGTGGTTTCTATATCTTTTGAGCCGGCTTGCGGTTCTGTGCCACCTTTTGTGTTAAGCCCTCCTGTGTGTGCTCGGGTAAAATTAATTTCCAAGTGTGCACAATTAAGTTCAATTTAATTACAGTTGAAAGCAACATATGCTTAAATTTTCTGTATCAATATTACACCTGGGGAAATTTATTTCAAAGTCCGCATATACAAATATATATATTCACTGAGAGAATGTGTATTTTTTCCAAGAATCTATCCTTAGACTATCTCTATATATAAAACGGTTCTCAATATAAATATATACGATAAAAGGTAGCAAACTACCTTTTGTGATAAAGGTGCACGTTAAAACGGGGTTTCGGGTGGAACCAAGTCAAACACCAAGTTGTTCATAGTTAGGCCTCTAGATCAATTTTTCAACTAAATCTCGCAAAAATATTCTTCAGTCAAAATGCATGTTAAGGTGCATATCCCTCACATTACCTATATAGACATAGGTCAAAATATTCCAGAATATAACCCTGATAGAGACATTTAAGAAGAGAATCTGAAGTGAAGCAATTAAGAAAAATCAATCCTTGATAACAGTTTTCTTCTATTACGGGCATAATTTGCGGAATTTTCTTGTTCTTTCTGTGTGTCCCGATGTGAATCACACAAACACATTCTATAACAGCCTTACCATGTAGTGCTAACTTAATTACCGTCACCCAGCCCAGTTTCTGCGAGCTCTTCGCCCAGCGTTAATCAACTTATTTATGGGCAGACGACATGTTGGCCATTTTATGGGCATTATCAGTGCCTGGCATGCGTGTGAGGCGGCGTCTTTTGGCTGGGCGTTTTCCAAAGTCGCCATGCAGTTCAACGCACTCTGCGTTAGACTTTGATTTGGGCTTGTGCCCCTTTAGGATACGTTGTGTTTTACTTCAATTTAAAGTCGTGCTATAGGACATAGACCTTCCGAAAACTCGCATAACTCAAGTATGAGTCCAGCCGCCGTGCCAGCCAGTGCGAAGGAATTGCAGCCACTGTATCCACGGCCACAGGACGAAATCCCAGGAACAGGAACGTCAAATTTGTTGCGCAATCGTAGAAACAGTAGTCTTATGGTCTCCCAACATAACAGCAAAAGTCTTACAGTTTCACTAGAGACGACCAAATCCCAAGACGAGGACGATGATGACAGGGCAATAGAACATCCCAAAGAGGTAAGGCTCCTCTGTGTTTGAAACTTGAGTCAATTTGCAATGTAACTGCGATGTGAGGGAAAGTTTGTTTCACTTATTTGTTAGGGTGTTTTCGCAGACTCTGAGCCGTTGAATGTTTAGCTCGCCGTGCTCTGGCATAATTTCAGAGCATAAATTAAACTCACTCATTAAGTACACGTGTGTCCCACTCAGCATAACTAGCTTACACAAAGGACATCGTTTCTGTGGCCCAAACTCATAATTTTCATCTTGTTGTATTCGTGTTTGACTTGGTGCTGCATAACAACACGTTAAGCCAATTAACTTAATTGTTGCTCATTTGGAATATTTTATCATTGCCTTTTGGAAGCTTGGCCAATTTAAAGGGTGCCCCTCCTAATTGTATATCATAGTAATTTTTCAATTCAAGCTTAATTCTTATAACTTCAATTTTTGTTTCATTTCAGGTATGTATGACCACATTTTATCCCCCTTATGCTGCTAGAAATTCGCGTAAGTAAGAAAACAAGTATCAAAAACACCCTGTATAAGTTGTACATCAGGTAAACACCTACACCTAAAGAAAACAAGCAAAACAATCAGGATAAAGCCGTCCTAAAGCATATTTCACACTAAAAATAATTAACAAAACAACATAAAGCACACATAAGCAGACTACAGAGAAATACTATCTGTGCTATATCAGAGCCCAAATACTCTTTCAGAATCCAAAGAGCCAAAGTACTCCAAACAGACCCTGACATATCAGAGCCTCAATACTCTTTCAGACTTCAAATAGACCACACTCACATATTTGAGACTAAATTCCAGACTCCAAATAGACCATCACATAGTATAAAAATTGAATCAAATCTTTTCAAAAATATATATATGTAGGCTTGAATCTATATATATATGGGCTTGTATCTGTGAATTGCCCAACGTGTCACACATTTAATGGGTCGCTCGGAGTACCCACGTCTAGGGTATTTCAACAACAGCTTATGGAGGCACCACAAAAGTTAGCAGCAGAGCTACACATGAATAATCAAATTTTTTAAGCCAGCCGTTGCCGTTGCCCAAGGCAGCAAATTGCGCAGAAAAAAAGAAAGAAAAAAATACGTTGGTTGTGGCAGTAAATGCCAGAGAGGCAGTCACAGCAGACGTGCAGAAGCAAGGCAAAGACAACGTTACGTATACGCAACGTGTGACGGGAACAAAGGCACAGTCTTTGAGCAGTCGTGGTAAAGTTTTGTGACTTGTTCAATTGGCTGTGAAAATGACAGGCGAGCAAATTTAACTTTTCTCTGTTTTAACAGTTCGTTCGGCTCTAGTTTTTGGACAAAATTGCCCCTGGATAAGTTGTCGCTGCAATTAGCAGCGCTTTTCAATTATTCTTGGCCACATTTGCTCACACTGAGTGAAACTTTTTATGCCCTGCAACTCTTTGAAACGGGTAACCGAGCATATTTATGAAGTTGCCAGCAAAAGCGACCCAGTAGAATTCTTGATAAGATATAGAGTTTGGTCGATAGGTAGACCTTCTGCCTATTTAGTAGCCCCATGAATACTTTAAGAAGTATAAATGTCGGCTGTCAACCTGGTTTACTACATAGCGTAGATTCTTAGAACTTGAGTGGTATATAGAGACTCTTCTGAATTCCAACTCTAACATATGACTGTTTAATAAGGGGAACTTAGACTGTCTCCTAGTCGGACACTTGTCAAAATCACTGACCCTCTTTCATCGGCTCATTATTAGCATCAAATTAGTGTGTTAAGAACAAAAAAAAAAGGACCTCGAGTCTCTCAGCCGGAAATGATAAATTAGTTAAAGCAAATGCAACTTTTATGTAAGCGCTGTTCGCAGACAACATAAGTGAAAGAGTAGAAAATAATATAAAATGGAAAGGGAGGGGGAGAAGAGAAGAAGAGAGGGAAGCAAGTTTGTTTCTAACATAGTTTTATGCCAGCGTTGGGACGTGGAAAAAATATGCTATATTAAAAAGTTTTTCGATTATTTTGTAGCTATTTTTGTTTTTCTTGCTTCAAAGTTTCCCGACTGGATTTTCTTAGTCGCTTTGCACACTTGATGAATGCTGTGCTAATGAGAGAGCTATAGACAGAGAAAACTTAGAGTTAAAGAGAGAGGGAGAGAGAGAGAATGCAGAAAAAATAAACAGGGTAAAAGGATATCTTGTGAATAGCGAAACACAAACTCTGCAGGTGATGAGCGAAGCAACTAAATTAAAAGTTCCTAGTTGAAAATGCAACCAACTTTAAATTGCTGAAAATTGTGTTATTTAGTTCTCCATGATTATTTTATTGAAAATTGTCATTGTTAAGAACTTTGGCTAAGTCTCAACCCGATTGCCTTACATGAACATTGTTAGTTGTTCATAGGTTAATTGGGAGCTCTCTATGGTCACTTTTTCATACCTTGTACTCTTTGAAAGTGGATAATTGAGAGTATAATAGTATTTTCTTGGTTTAATTATTGTCTTATATGCTGTTACTCTTATATTGCAACTTTTATCAGAGTGAGTGGGGTTCACAGTGCAACAATAGTTTTTAGTTTTAAGTGGATTAGTTTAGATACGTACAGATGGTATTATGTTCATTTTGTTTAGTCTAGGATTGTAGTTTGTTTGGCTGAGCATCATCGAACGATCTGTTGCGAGGGACCTTTTAAGTCTCCTTATTCGCCACCTTAGCAGGTTTCTTGCCAGGACTTTATGATGGTTGTAAAACTTAGATGGGTAGCTAGCTGCTTGTATCTTGACATCCCCTACAATTGGTACCTTAAGGTCTTTTGCGATGTCACGTGCTCGTATGTTCTTCCTTCCGTCTGTAGGAAAACATTAAACTCAGAAACGATAAGAGCTGGAGATTATTACAAAACAAGCTTATAATATTTCCAATATTTTCATTTCAATAATATCGTTAAATATTTGTTTTAAAGCAAGCTTTTTCAATAATCTCTAGTATTTCACTTGAATTCCTCCCGCATTCAGTTATATATTGAAATGGGGTAGAACTACCCCGAGTAGAGAATTCCTACCTTTAGCATATATTTTATTATTACAATATTAATTTCAATGCTTTCAAGTTTTATTTTCATACAATAAGTTCCTAATGGTCAGCCTGAAATTGACTCTTATTTTATTTACACACATACCTTGATTCCTTGTGCATTCTGTGGCCACTTGAAGTCCA